GGGAAAGAGAAAGGGAGAGAAAGTTAAAAATAAGATTTGGATCTTTGAGGTGATAAAACCTAAATGGGGATAGAATAGCGAACCATCTACCGTTCTTTTTTGCATATGAAAGCTATATGAAAGAATTAGAAGAATATTTGAGGGTTGGAAGAAAGTGAGAGTTTAGATAACAATTAAGGACATGGATTGGAATTATTAATAGACCTGCACTTAGGTCCCTTAAGCTTTGAATGAACTTAAATCTAATTGTTCTAATTAGGTTTGAAGCACACTTCACAACCCTTTTGCCAAAACTATAGGTTCACCCCTTCGGTTTTAGGAGCCTGATAGGGAGTTAAGTTTGATCTAAAAAATACTTGAGGATTAGTGGAAAGGCACTTAGTTGAAATTAGATACTTTAGAACACTTCAGACCCAAACTAAAGTGTAAGTTTCTTAGGTCTTAGGAGCACACCTTAAGAGAGAATTCATCATCCTAATGTTCAAATGATCCTGAGAAACCAGACATCTGACCCCAGTTCATGAGATAACTAGGACACTAGGCACGAGGGCGCACTAGATTGTGATTCATGACTGATTTAATTAGATCAAATAATGAAATTCTTACCTTAACTTCACCAAAACTGAAACCCAATGCTCCGGGATTTGAGTTTGTCTTACACTCAAATCCTCCCAGCAACTGGGACATTCTAATATCACATATAAATTACCTATTCTTGGCCTTTTATATGTGATATTGTATTTTATTTTATTTATTGTCATTTTTCCTACGATTTACCTGTTTTTCTCAAGTCTTTTTCAGGTCGTACTATCCCTTTTTACACAGCGCATAATAGCTAAACTTAAAGGAACAATGAACCTCCCAGGTGTACAGGTTTAATTGATATTACAACATTTTATTTTCCCAGCATGTTATATTGTTCTCATAGCCTGTTATACTATTTTCTAAGCATGCTATACTGTCTTTTCTTTCTACTGTACACTATACTGTTCATTTCTGTTATGCTGCATGTTTAGTTATTTTGATACATACTATGTCTTAGTTTAGGAAAACCTAGTGGTTAGGTGGATTTTCAAAACCAAAACTAAACCAGGAGGTGCTATTACGAGGAGTTTGAAGCAAACATCGTGGGCAGCACGGCGAGGAACAACTTCAAGGTGAATCTGCAACAGCAAAACATCTTCACATCACCTATCACTTCCCCTAGCTTAAATAACAGCTCATACGATCACTCTTTAGGCTTTTTGTACAACCCTATTGTGTAATTATAAGTCCTAATATTTAAGGATTCCGAGGTTACCGTGCGATACAGTGTAAATCCTTCTATCTTTTTAGGCTATTTGCACAGTCCAATATTGTGTAAACATAAGTCCTAAATCCTAAATAATTTGCAGGATTGAAATATCAAATTATTAAATCATTTCAAAGAAATAAAGCCAAACAATAGGCTAGTTGGGAGTTCACCGGGGTTTTCCCCTAATCTGTGATATCCCCTACTTTTCTTCCCTTTGGATTCTCTAAATAATTGTTCCTATTTTGAGTGATTCCCATTTAATTTTCCCATGTCCAATCGTGAAAACCTAAATTTTGAAATCTTGAAGGCAAAATCACCTGATCTTAATCGAGAGTTTTCTTAAGTGATTTCGGTCATTTAAGATGTAATTAACTATAGGGGTTTGCCTCTATAGGGAACCAGGAACCCAGATAAAATAAACTCTATCTAATTTTTTATGTTAGATAGAGGAACTTATTGGCTTTTTTATAAAATATTTCTCAGACTAAAACGGATGTCACAATTTTTTTAGTCTATGTGATTGAATATCTTATTACAAGTGATATTTTTATTCTTCGGGATAAGTGTATTACATGTAGTATTGTATTCAATCATCTAAACTATTTAAGACGTGAGACCCGTTTGGTCTCACCTATTTTAAAATTAAAATATTACTTTTAAAAATAAAAAATGGTTATATTCATATTTAAATTATCTTCAAAATTACAAAATCATCACTTTTTCAAATCACGAAGTTAAAAAAAATGGCCGACAGAAGCTAAGGTGCAGTTACTTATAAATAGCCAGTGACAAGAAGAAACGAAATAGCTGAGACTGTGATTACGAAGAAAAAGGAAATTGTGGTCACTCATTGGTGTCTAATATCGAGAAACAATGTCAACACAACATTTTACCTAAAATGTCAATTTAATTAAGAAAATCAAATAGAAATATGAAAGAAGTTGAGATTTACACTGAGAAGCTTTACTGTTACTGTTGTTCCAATACGCCCTCGTAGTTTTTGGGCTGCGGCTTCACTATTAATTCCAGCAACACTTTCTCCTAAAGGCAAGATGAGTGTAATTAAAAATGCTTTCCCCTATAAAGTTCACTTCACATTCAATTAGCATGCAAACATGATAAAGAAATAGAAGTTGTGGATATATTAAGGTTTTTCACATGGAAACTATTAGAGAGTGCAAAATCTGGAAGAGATTATAATGCAAAATGCAAGTTTCAGATACACTCCACGATCAGAAGAAAAAAAAAAGAAAAAAAGAAAGAAAAGTTGTGACTTTATATTTACATTTGAGAAACACATAAAATATTAGAAAACTACATCACAGATTCCCTCAACAGAAATATCAGTGCTAGATACAAAATATAAGGTTGCTGAACTAACCATCAATTTCAAGAAACTCATCTCCTTCATGAATACCAGCTCTAGCTGCTGGGCTTCCCTCAATGCAAGACAAAACAATCTGTAAAATAACTTCAACTTGTAAATGACTGAACATCCACATTTAACCATAAAAATAATAAATGGCAACTTTCCAGGAGATTAAAATCAGCTGTAAAAGTTTTATGAAGGCTGCATACAAGGAGAACTTGAACTTTATAGATCCTCAAGCCCTACTTTCATTAGAACAGCTTGGAATAAATTAACAAGGTATCTTTTAAGTAATGACTCCACTGAGTGGTCCTTGTGGGGATAACATGCAGCTATTGTTACATGCAAACATAGACAAGCCCAATATTAGTGATTCATCCATTTTAGAAAAACGAACTTCCTGCTTTGTCAATGAGCTTCATATTTATGAATTTGTTCTAACTTTATTATATCAAGAAGCATGATCTGAGGACAATATGTTTCTTGGATCTCTATGACTAGTTCATGGGTCTGTAACTGACATTGTGCTCACTTATCATGAATAGAATGTTTTGTATAGCTTTCTATCTTTAAAATAATAAAAACTTTGTTTCAAATGTTACACCTTCGGAGAGGCGTAATTTTATTCCCAGATACAAGCTAAATTAAGGCAGTTAATACCAATACAACCATAACAACTTTGCATAATAATGCGTATATGGATAAAAGGTATTACTTAAAACTTCTGAAGTGTGGATACTTATAGCTGCAATTAATATATCTTTGCCACACAAAGGTAGATCAATTAAGAATACAAGCACCATAAAATCAGCACTGAGAGAAAGGAAGATTACTAATTGCTACCAACCAAGTGTCCAGAATGAGGCTCAACATTTATGAAAAGGCCAACTCCTTGCAAGTTCCCATCGCTACCAATTCTGAAGCTTTGAAATTCCTGCATATTAAAGCAGTTCTATCAATTATAACAACTATGGCACCATGTATACAACTCCCTTAAATGAAAGATCATAGTTAAGAAAAAATAGAAATCAGGTCATCTGCAGAATCTATTATGCAGACAAGATGAATGCAGAGTTGCAGCTGAATGTTTTATATATTTTTTTTCTAACTTCCAAAAACAAAAATTGTTCGCCTATTCAAACTATCCAAATGCTGGTCAGCAAAATCTTGCAAAGGAATGTTCCTCGGGCAACAAAACTGTAATAAAAAAGAGAGGATTTCCAAGCCCAAATACTTCAGGCCTTTAAGCACAAAAATTTATATGATTATCTGTAGAACGATAGTATGGACGATAAAAGAAAGGAACACAACCATATGTATTTTTGAACCTTTGGGCTTATTAATTTTGTGAAAGGATCACCAAGTGTCCAAAGCATTCCCCTGATCTTGCTATATGCCACATCTGCTGATTTCAGTGGAAACATTTCTACCATAGTTTGTTGCAGCTTTGAATCCCAATCTAGATTGCAAGGCATTTTATCAACAAATATATCAAGAGAAAAACTAAACGGCCAGAGTAGCATTCACCAGAGGTCCAAAATCACCTATTAAATAATAACTAATTTGCTAGTGTCTTAAGGTTAAATTAGTTCACAATTTCATTGTGAGATTGTCGGCAACTTTTTTCTATAATATTCTATATTTTCATGTGATGCACTATGTACAAAAGAATACAGAATAGTAAACACTAAAAGAAACACCAACTCTAATGTGAACCATGAACTACCCTCACCTAACAATTATCTGAAAACAAATGAAAAAGCACCGACCAAAAAAATTAATAAATAATTTTTTAGTGAGGGCTAATTTGTATGATTGTATATAGAAAACATGTTCTGAAATTTCTGATTTAAAAGGCTTGTTGTTGTTGTTGCTGTTGTTGTTGTTGTCTTTTGTGTTTAAAAAACTCATTACATTTAAGGGGATTTAAAGAAGAATTCCAAGAAAAATTTTGTGAGGGCTAATTTGTTTTTTTGTAGATAGAAATATGTTTTGAAAAAGCTGATTTTATTTTTACTTATTTTTGTCTCTGAAATTAAATCATTACATTTAAGGGGACTTTAAGAAGATTTCTAAGCTTAAAAGTGGAACAATCAAATTGTATCATTATGCAAAACAAGCTTTTTAAACTTCAAGCAACCAAATGATAACTGAAAAAAAAAAGAACTTCCAGACTATTCTTCACATGGCCTGATCGTTCTAATTCAGCTAAATTTCGCAAATATTTAAACGAACCCTGATGATTAAACGTAGGATCAATGAAAGTCTCCCGTACTAATCCCCACACCTCAATCAGTGTCCGCTGTACCGTATTCACCTAAAACAGAGCAGCTCTAACTCAGAATCACCAGCAGAAAAAAAAAAAAAAAACATTCAAGAAAATCTCTTAAACACTGTGACTTTATCTCGTTTTATTCGCCTCGCGAGCTTTCGAGACCGGGACGGCCACCGTTAGGGATTCTGCCAAAGCCATCGCGTCGCATCCACTAGTAGAGACAAGCACCGCCGCCGCCGCCGCCAAGAAGCTCTTCACAAGAAATTTTTCCGGCGATCGATCGGATCCATCCACATCCAATCGGACGGTTTCGCCATGGCTACGCCCCTCTGACTTCTTAACAGTACATGAACGGAGCTTCGGTTTGAGAAGGGATAGACGGGTATTGAGTAGTTTCCGGTGGTTAGAATAGAGTTTCAGGAAAGTGACGGAGGAGAAACTTTGGGCATTCAGCTCCATCAACTCTCTGCCTCTCTCGAGAGTTGGAGAGAAGTGACAGGGAATGGAACGCAGTGACAAAAAGATACCGATGGAGCCTACTGAGTTTGTGGCGGGAGTGATGGTCGGGAGTTACAAGGATTTTACGAAAAAAAAATAATAATAATAATAATTAAACATGGAAACGAGGACGCAAAAAGGAGCGTCGGTTGTGTGCTTTGCTTTTTGGTTGGATTATTTAAACATTTCATTTTAACAATTAAATTTATTATGGTTAGTTGACCCTTTTTCTCCTGGTTGTTTGAATTTTTTCTTTGGTTTTTGGGTTTTGTTTTATATTCTTCCTTCTTATTTTTTGGTTTCTAAGATTTTGTTAGTGTATGTCTCTAGTTTTTGTGCTTTTTCTCTTGTTTACTTTTAAATGAATGAATATCTTTGGATATGATGATGTGGTTGATGTTATTGTTGTTGTTGAAGTTTCAATTGTTGTTGGTTGCTGTGATGTTGTAGTTACTGTTAGAGTTGGCCTGGTATTTTTTTAGTTTATTGTCGGAGTTCGTAAACTTGTTATTTTTCTTTTTTATGTTGTTTATTTTATTTTTAAGTGAGTTGTATTCTAAGTTATCTTGTTATTACTTTTTGTTCTCTGTTCAATAAAACTATGTGTGCCCTAAAAAATTTTCAAAAGAAAAATAGATTTATGATATTTTTATTTAAAAAATATAATTAAAATTGGTTTTAGATAAAAAGATTTTCTTAATATGTAATATGCATAAAGAATAAACTTTATCTTTGCTCAGATAAATCATAGCTCTTTTTTTTTCTTGCAGGATGAACATTTAAATCTATCATCTTGGGATTTATTATTTTTGTTTTCAACCAATATGCTAAATATTCGAGCACAACATATCTAAATTCTTTGCCCAGTCAAATCTTGGTTGATCACTCGTGTTATACTTCTCACCACGATAAAATCTTGTTAAAATCTTTCAACAAATCTTCAGTAAGTTTCTTACCCTACAAAATTAATTATTTTATTTAAATTAAAATCCATTCGTGAACACTTTCAATGCCAAAAATCTTCTAGGTTAAGACACAAAAGAGAAAGAAAAAACACATGAAAGCTACGGACGCTAGGTCTAAACATTTGATTTAAATCTGATCTTAAAATCATCATATGAGGTTTGAATTAAAGTTTAAGAAATGCTACAAATTTAATATGACGTTCGAACTGGAGTTGGAGCATGATTTAAGCCTCATAGTATATTCTTGCGTCATGTTTAGCTTTCTTTTAAATTTGAACCTTGTTTGAACATTTGAATTTGAACTTAGGGTTCAATCTTTGGTTTAAAATGGAGGTCCCAAATTGGGTTTGAAAATAGTTTAAACCTTGTTTGAACATTGAGCCTTTGTCAAAATTAATTTTAACTTATTTATTCAAATTAGATGTTAATTTATTAGCTTCAAAATAACAGTTTCAAATAATATTTGAACTAGGTTTAATTTCATACCATAAACTTATTTAATCAAATTAGATGAGTGTTGCTATGTTGTAGCTTATAGTGAAGGTAAGACCAAATTTTTTTTGAATTTTTGAATTGGTTTCAATCACTAGGTTGAGGTTTTTTGTATTTCCTCTAAGTAGAAAATTAACAAAACCACAATAACTAGAACTATTAATAATATCTTATATGGTTACAACAACTTCAAGAATATTCTTCTTAAAAAGGACTTAATGGAGTGCATAATTAGAGTAAATGATTGAAAGACAGATTTATGATTTATTATTAATGGAACATTCCTTAATCATGATAGGAATAGTGATGTATTTGCTAAGATACTCGTGATGGTTGAACAAGATATATATATATATATATATATATATATGCAAAAAGAAATTATCATAGAAGAGTCCTAAAGGGTTGGACAAAAAACATAATCCACACGGAGGGAAATGTCTTGAAAGCTAAGAGAATGATTAATAAGAATGCCCTTGTCCACTGTTTTTGGTTTTTTTGAAAAACTTGGAGTCACAAGCTTGTCTATATATATGTCTTCGTCGTATGATACCCCTTTCCAAATAAGTCTCCCTCTTGGATTATATAGAATAAATTAAAGATGAAATAAATTGAAATAGACGAGATATATAATGAAAAATTTAAAAAAAAAAAACATGGAGCTTATGTACAGTAATCCTCGTGTGATAGGTCAAGAATATACATCTGAACAAGATCAGATCAAAAAACCTTAAAACAGTATCCACAAAGAAAATCCTTACATAAGCCACCCATAACCAGATAACAATAAAAAAAATTGTTCTAGGGTCAAGAGCACATCTAATGGAATGTATCACTTTAGTTAATTACATCTTAGGGGATACCCAAGAATATTTTCAATAAAAAGAGTCCTGCTTACATTATCATGACCCAATAATAGGTCACCAAAAGAAAGCTTATTTCACACGAAAATCTCAATAATTTTAAAGCTCTCGCTAAGCCACAAGGCAGAGAGTGAATCTCACACATCCCAATGGGTGGCAGCTCACTGCATACGAGGCTCACAAAATAATCATGTCGACTCAGAGTGTCCACACTATGCTTTCAAGGCCTAACTAAGACATAAGGCCAGAGAGTGAATCACTGTATCCTAAATGGGCGACAATCTATTCGCAATTGGGGCCTATGAAATGACACGAATGAAGTCATAAAGGAAGACAGGGCTCAAATGTGCTCAACAAATGATAGGTAATCTTAATTGGGTAAGATAATCGGATCATAATATCACGAATGTCATCCCAAGCTATTAAGACTCTAAGTTTCTTGGCCGTGAAGGTAGTCAACCCAACACAACTAGATATCCCTTTTCGACAACCCGTGAATTGCATAGTTTAAGGAGTTCTCGACAACCCTTAGGTAAAAAGAAGGAAACTCTAAATCCTATGACCCTATAAAGCTAGAGCTCACAAAGGTGGGACTTATACTCACCATAAAAATAACAAAGATGCCACTAGAAGGAAGAGAAAAGAGAGATCAAATTATAAAATTGAAAACACTCTCAATAAAGGACCTACTCCCCGCCTGGTTTAGGGAAGCCTCTAACATCATAGCTTGCTAAACAACCACCTAAGTATAAAACTTATGCTGGGCTAGTGCACTTGGGCTTCTTCTTGGGGCATGCAATCTCCTGCAATTATCTAGTCCTAAGCATGCAGACCCTATTAATATGACTAGAGATATGTCCATGCTATGTAAACAATTTTAAAACCGACCCGAAGGCCATGTAGAAAAGAAAAGTGCTAGTTTTAAAATCTTAAAGTATTTTAATCATAAAATTTTGATTAATCATAATCTCTTGTTAGGATTTTTATAGAAAAATTATAATATTAGGGTCCTTAAAGAGCCTACTTTATAACATTGGATTCGCGGACAAACCACAAGGTAAAAACAGTGAAGCCAAGTCAAGTCAATCACAATGCAAAAATGAAAGCAAGTCAAACATGAAATAATAAACACAGACTGGGTGCCTCTTGGTCATAAACATATTTTAGAGAAGCAAAAAAAATTGTCAGGCTTCGCATATACATATCTGATCCTAATGTTATACGTAAAAAAAGTAAAATTGAGATATGAGACACGAACCTCTGCTCCTTGTCTCTACAACGTGGTTTTGCGCCTTAAGTGCCTCAAAACTTGTGCATGTATCTTATTTATGATACAGGCTAAAGTAAGGATGATAAAAGTACATAAAAAGTCTAAAAAAAAGACTCAACTTTCATGAAAATCATGTTAGCAGAAGGCTATGCATGCAACTTACTGAACCATGCCCAGTGGGAGGAGAGCTAAACAACATCTACAAGCAAAAGGTTAACTTTAAATCATTACATCTCTTCCTTGTTGGACATGGCTCCCTGCAAAAAAGACCGCCTCTAATATACTAGTGTGTCATTGTCACACCCAACAAACACACAAAGTAACACGAAAGTGATGCCCAACTAAGGTAACCAAATTAACAGAGAACTATAGCCAAGACATCAAGAAGACTACCTAGCATCCTAGTTGTAGCCTAGCACACCATCTATCGTAGTGTCCTATCACAACATGCGTATAGTGCAGGGTAAATTCTAAGTGTATGACTTTGACAGGGTCGCCACATCAACTCTTAAAGATCTAAGGGATCTAAAATATGTCATTAAAGTGGTGACATTTTTAATAAGTGGCCTCATATATGGTCTAATCTATATAGATTTAAAAGTAGGAGAGATAATACATAATAGAAAAATATCCATTTCTATAGTTTAAATTATAATACTATTTAAAGAAAATATGTAACATGCAAATGACCTACTTTGGAGTTCTTGGAGCCTTATTCATACACAAATTGATCGTAATACAAAAACTTGTATTTATCGCTGAGCTATACTTGTGTGCAATGTTCTTTTAAGTATTACGATTAACAAACAGGTCACTCATCCTAAAGAGTAATATTTGTGTCAAGGCAACTTGATGATGCACATACAACATGCAAAATATCCCACACATTTTGATTATTTGACCAAAGCATGAATAATCACGTCAAATGCCAAAGGGCGAGTCGCACATTAACAAAATGTAAATGCAAAAGTGCTACATGCAAATGACAAACGCACAACAAGTATACCAGGTACATGCTACTTAAAAGAAGGAATTACGCCATCCCTGGGGAGCCTTGTCGAATGTCATGCAACGAGCAAACAAAGGCCACAAATGGGCTTTCATCCAATATAGGAAATTGATAAGGAAATTACTCCGTACCCAAGATGCACTCAAATGAGCGCATGCAAACAAGCAATACGTGCATCATATGGACAGACAAAGAAAGGTAAGTATACAAAACATTTCAAGTGTCAAATACACTAAGTGACATGATTCGTGTCAATTGAGAATCACATACGTAGGTGGACAAACATTGTGTCTTGCATGAATTCAGTGGCTAGAAAGCATGACTCATACTAAGCACTATGTCCAATACCTATGACATTCCAAGATAGTTTCATAGGGACTGAGGCAGCATGGCTTTTGACCAACAGAAATATAGTTGTGTAAAATTTATAAATTTGACTCTGCTTTACAATGGTGCCAAAAACTT